GCAGTTCATAAGCAGTTTTACGAATTCTTGCAAGTAAACAATCTCCTCTTCAAAGATCAGTTCGGATTTAGAAACAAAATGTCTACAAGCTCTGCTCTTTTACAATTTACGGACAGCCTCCTTGAAAGCATGGACAAAGGTCATGTATCTGGTGTTGTGTACTTAGATTTGAAAAAAGTCTTCGACACAGTCGATCATTCTTTGTTGCTTTTGAAATTGACAGAATATGGTGTTTCTACAGCTTGTCTAAAATGGTTTCGCTCCTATCTTAGTCAGAGATCACAGCAAACGTCGGTTGGGGACGCTCTCTCACTGAAACGAAACGTAACGATTGGAGTACCTCAAGGATCAGTTTTAGGTCCCCTACTTTTCTTGTTTTTATCAACGACTTGCCGTTATCATTAAAATACTCGAACACAATCTTGTTTGCAGATGACTCAGTAATCTATTACTCGGGGAAAAACTGTAATGAAATCCAAAAAAAGATGAATGAGGATTTGGCTTTAGTGAAAGAATGGCTAAACGACCATCGACTGACGTTAAACATCTCTAAATCAAAGTTTGTTGTGGTTGGTGGAAAGCAGCAGTTAAAGCTTTTCAAAGATATGTCATTGAAGATCAAAGAGGACGAACTAAGTCGAGAAACAAGTTATAAATATCTTGGTATAATAATAAATGAAAATATGACATGGGGGGATCACATTGCTTCATTGCAGCAAAATGTAGAAAAAAAAATAGGTTTGTTAAAAAGAATTAGTCATCTAATCCCCAGGGCACAACGTTTAACTTTGGTAAATACTATGATAATACCATTGTTTGATTATGGAGATACTGTTTGGGGGGATAGAAATAACCAATGTTCGATGAAGACTCTGCAAGTTCTTCATAACAAATGCGCCAAACTGGTATTGAACATGAAACGAAATGACTCAAGCACAAAGGCATTAAATTTACTGCACTGGAAATCTCTAGATATCAGACGAAAGTTCCACCGATGTGCCACCATTTAAAAGTCGAAAAAAAACGATATAAGTTACACTTTCAGCAATAAAACAGGACACGATTTGCATAACATCCAGACAAGGAACAAAGAGAAATACCATCTATCTAAAGTAAGGACAAATTGGGGGAAGCAAGTGTCATCCTATCTGTTTGTTGATGACTGGAATAAACTGGACAGAAACATTAAGTTGGCAGGAACTTTTAATATTTTTAAACAAAGGTTTTGGACAATGTGAACTGACTTTATTCACTATGATGAACTTTTTTAATTTTGTAATGTTTTAGTAAATCGATATAATTAGTTTAATAGAGGACCCTCATGAAAAGCACCCTCGAGTGACTGAGGCCATCCTCTGTAAATATTTGTCTAATTATTATTGTTATATCTTTTTTAATTGATTTTAATTTAATTAATTGATTGATTGTCGCTAGTGGATTTGTAGGGGTTGAGAAACGAATGACCGTTGCGTCTTAATGAATTCAACTGACTACATTACCAGGCTTATACACATAGAAAAGGGGACGAAGCAAATGTGTTGTTGATTACATTCAATACAAAAATGTTCAGAATATAAAATATATAAAACAATAACAGGCTTATGCTTCCGTCGGCGAAAGTAAATCGGACATATCTTTTGCATTTCGAACAAATTTTTTTTCCAAAAATGTTGACTTCTCTTTTGGCTAAAGCAAAACAATTTCAGGTTTTTGATACACACATTCCTTTAAAACAGTTTTTGAACTCTTAAGAAAACTGCAAGAAACTCCGAGTACTAAAAATGTGATCATGTACTCAACTGACTCAAGCTCTCAGCTTCCTATAAAGTATACGTGTAATTAAACTAATCAGCTTCTCAAACCATTGAGCGAAGTTCCCTTCAAAGATAACAACTTAAAAAATTAGCAATTTCTTGTTAACGTTCATATTTTTGTTACTTGCTTCAAGGGCTATGTGCTTTTATTTGCTTTCACATTTGAATCTTCAAAAGGGTCATCTGACTTAAGTTCAAGTCCTCTAGCTTCAACAATTCCGGCCATTTTAAACTAGTTTTGTATCATAGAATGGCAGTGACTGTGAGTTTTTGATATATGATTAGTTGTATTTATTTTATTTGGACCAATTTTTCTATTAACTTGGAAAACAACTGTTTCAAAAATTGTCCGGGCATACCCATGTGAAAAAAGACTATAACCTTTCCTTTGGTTTCTTTTGCAATGGGAATGCAGATTGAGATGTAATTTAATTTACATTACAAACAAAATTTAATTGCAAAGTTTATACAAAACCTTTCAGCATGACAAACTTTATGACAACTTTAAATTTCGTAGAAATGAATATTCGTACAAATCTCTGTCTGAGAGTTTGTCACGGTGAACAAAGTGACAATTCTTAGCTTCAATGACAGTGATAAAAAGGACGGTCACTACAAAACGCCCGTCAAACAAACCATTTTACCTAACATTTATAAAACAAATAAAATGTTGGGCATGTTTGGCCACCTTGTTTGGTTGAAAAATATTTGTTGAGCGATGTTGGATGAAGTTTGATGGAAGTGAAACAAAAATTTTTCTTTTTCATTATTGTGTGACATATTTGGTCTATTTGACCACTCAACGTTGACCTCGTCTTGATGTTCAACCATTATTGACCTCGTCTTGATGTTCAACCATTATTGACCTCGTTTTGATGTTCAACCAACATTTACCTCGTCTTGATGTTCAACCAACATTGACATGATGCGCACGCACAAATCATAAAAACTCTTTAATCCTCCAATAACGCGACCAAAACGATTGATACATTAGCTTCACATTTTAAACTCCTGCTTTAATTTTTGCTGTTGTCCGCCATCTTTCATTTGTACCAGCCTTTTTTCATTGTCTTCTTTGTGCACGCTCCGCAGCGCCTCGGCCATTGTTAGACGAAATGTTGGATGAAATGTTTGTTTTTTTCGACCCCAACAACATGAAAAAATTTAGATAGCAGTTTCGATAGATGTTTGGTGAAAAGTTTGGAGACTTGACATTGTGTCTCTTTATGCTTCCTTCATTAGCCTGTAATTCCACGAACATACTGGGCCATACCCAAAAAACAGAATTTGCAACCGAATAAAAGTCTTTTAAAGCAGAAGACAACGTTTGAAATAAATCTATTGTTTTTTGCAATTCAAGCTTACTCTTAAAGTCTTTTAATGACAATCGTTGACAGTGTAGTCTACTTCGTCATTTTTTCTCTCGGATTGCTTTCGATCTGCAACTGCATTTAATTTCCTGCTTACCTTTTGGTTACTGACCGACTAAATGAAGGGCTCTCTGAAATATAATACGTAAATCTTGCTATATTCAAGTGAAGTCCTATTTGAAAACTTTACGATCAGGGCTGCCATCGCTGGGATATGGGAGGCTAAAAAAACTTTTTTTGGTAATTCGTGGAGATTTCTAAAAAAAGTTGAGCTTTTGTGGCCTCCCTTTCCCGACTCTGTAAAAAAGTTTACTTCACACCACGGCCCTGGCAATGATATTTTAAATATCGTAAAATTTCAGTCAGCTTATTCTATTGAACGCTTGTTCTCCTATCTGCGATTCGCTAGCATAGTTTGATTTGTTGAATTCAGGTTGCTTTGTCCCAAAAGCCAGATAGACTGTTATGGTATTTCTTTATAAAGACAACAAAAATAAAACGACTAATGGTCTTAGATATATTTACTATAGGCACCTGGCAATTGAAAAACAGCCTAGCCCGAATAACTGCCATTAAAACAGCTTAAAAGTTTAATAAGCACCGATCAGTCAATTAATATGGCAATTTATTCACATTGGTCACTATTGGAACAGGTTTTCTGGTGGTCCTGATTCAAAAATTATGGTATCGCCACTTTCCCAGAAGACTTACGTCATAATTTTAAGTTTGTTTGGTTATAGATCATAAAATATTTACCATAGATAACTGACTGATTTGCTTTCCTTTAAATTTGCATTTACCATTAAGTTGATTGATTTTTAACATTAAATGACATGGATAACAAATAAGCCGGGGGTAGGTTTGTCACTCTGTGAGTATCCATTTTCAGTAGACAAGGTTAAAAAAGAAACATGGACAAGATGATGTGCAATATGAATCATCAAAATTTTCTCTAACCGAAGAATCTTGGGATGAAAAGGGATAAAAACCGAAGAATCATGATGAAATTAAGAAACTTTCTATATACACTTGTATGACCCTTAAAACTTTGCCCGAAAACTTGAGAAAACGTTTCTTTCCCTGGGTATCAGAGGCGAATTAATTTGATCACAGAAATATAAAATAAGGGATGGAGAAGCGGAGGAGCGCTTGCCTTCTTCTTATCTAGAAACTCCTATGTTACGCGGTCGAAATTTTGTGGCTAGGGCACACGTGATAACGTAGCTATTTTAGTAAATGTTTTTGCAGATGTTATTGATTATCGAAAGTTAAATTTTCGGATTAAAGTATTTAGTAAATAA